CCCCCCCACATCCTGGGCTTGTTTTTGTCTGGCACCAGCCCCCTCCCCCTTGCTGATGGGGAAGCCTCGCCTATGCCCCTTTTTTTACCAGGCAACATAGTGCCATACTGTAATTGGTGTGACATGTAGAGGCAGGAATTCTAAATATCTAATCCATAATGAAAGCCAGTCTATCCCTGAGAAACTAAACATATAAATGCCACTGTTTGTGTAGGTCCTTTGTAAGCTATGCAGTGGACTGCAGCACACCCTTAGCTAGTGCTGGGAGGGGGAGCATGGGGATAGCATTCCTTTGGGTCTTCCTGAGTTGCCTGCTAGCTGCTGCTTTACCCGTTGCAGTCCACAGAGCACAAGATAATGGGTCTGGCAGAGCCCAGCTTACTTGACCTCCTCCAGCCAATCCTGCATCCAGCCAACTTAGTACATGCCTGTGCTTTGAAATTCAGGACGCACAAATTTGAGATTCCTAATGGCTCTCAATTAGCTCCCTTTCTCCTCTACACACACATTCCAGAGCCACTATAATTAGTCATGACTAAGCTAGTCATTTTCAATTCAGAAAACAAAACCGCACGCACAACTGCAGCAATTCATTCTAACTGGGGATCCCTGCTTGGAATCTGACCTGGTGAAATGCAACAGTGTCTGCATTCTAGGGCCTGATTGGGTATCTCTGAGTCACTCAAATCTGTCCTTTTTTTTTTCCCCCCCATCCCCCCAGGGGGTTTACTGGTGTAAGATTTACACATGTGAGTAAGGGTTAGCATGACCTGAAGCTACGGTTAGACTAATGCTGCAAACCTTGTTGAACTGACTCGGAGAGAAGTAAGGCTGGAAGGGACCTCCAAAAGTCATCTAGTGAAGTGCAACCTTAGTCTACAACTTCCCCAGGCAGCTATTCTACTGCCTCACTTCTAACAGTGAAGAAGTTTTTCCTGATATCCATAAGTCAGTTCATGGCTTGGCATCTTGGTTTCTCTCATCAATGTGTTCAGCTCCTGCTGACTTCAGGAGGTTTCCCAGGGCTCCACACCTATATGATGGACTTGAGAAATTACCTCCAGCCAACAGTGGGTTAATACAGCAAAACTGGACCATCATGGCTACAAAATTACTCCAACACTGCCTTAATAAGGCAAAATAAGAGAAACATGAATGAGTCAAATTCATCCTAGCAGTCAGCCCAGGGATGAACTGGGTCTGGGATAGGAGTTGTTTAAGTGCTTATCAAGAAGGTCTTCCCCTGAAACATCTGGTTCTGACCAGGTAGGATGCTGGGCTAGCTGACCTCTGGTCTGATTCATTCTGGTAATGACCCTGTTCCATGTTTCTCCTGATGTAAAGGAGCAGAGCCATGCCAGTTCACCAATTCACCCCAACTGAGGATGTGCCCTGCTGTATTCTCAAGATCCTGCCCCAGGAAAGTGCATCTTAGACTGTGTATTCTAAGCCTACTGCTTCTCTCTCTCTCTCTCTCTCACATTGGTCAATTCATTAATTTTTTTTATGTAGGACCTCAACAAAAGCCAGGTTTTGTCTTCTGGAGCCTGAGACTGCTGCAGAACCAATTTAGCAAACTTCATCTGGGCACATGTTGAATCATAAGACCTGGTTATGATTCCCAGGGCACAGGCAACTCATCAGAGCTCTTATTTGAAAAATAATTCTAGTGAGTAGCAGTTTCTACTGTTTTCATGTTATTATCTAAAAACATTTGACAGGTGCTTTCTACTCTGGAATGGGGATAAGGAGAGAGATGTGTTGGAGCAAAAGCATTTGCTCCCTTTAATTATTTGGATGGAAGCCACCATAAGGATTCAAACTATCACAAAGCACATGGGTATTTTGGAGCAGGAACTGTACTATAATTCTACTCCATAGTTATACAGCACCTAGTACTGTGGAGTCCTGGTCCACCATTGTGGCTCCTGTACTGCATGTAATAAAAAGGCAGTAAGTAGCATGATGCTCTGGAGTGCTCCAGAGCAGAGGAATAGATATAGAGGATCTCTTCTCCAGTCCTGCTTTTACCTTCTAGAGAAACAGCCATTTCCTGCCCTGGTCTGAGTTGAGTCTCAGCATTCCCAAGAAAAGCTCCGGAAATGACCCAGATCAACCCATAGAGCTGTCCACTGCCCTTTGAGTCTCAGCAACGCTACTGGTCAGCTGCGAAGCCCACAGAAGTCACTGAGATTCTTCCTACTGATTCCAGAAAGTACTTGCCATCAAGACTGACTTAGGCAAGTGTCTTTTTTCTTCAGCATCATAACACAGTGAGGTAGCTACTGGCATCCCAAGCCAACCCCATACTGCTTCTGGACTCAAATGTGTTCAAGGAGTACACCACTTGTTCACTCTCCGAGTCTTCTACACGTGCCCAGACTCATTCCTGAGATAGAGTTTGTGAAGCTGGTTCTGCAGAAGCTGCCTCAGACTCTAGGAAGCTAAACATGGCTTTTGCTGCCTCCATCCACCCCAAAGCTGCTCCCTGTTTCCTGTGCCATGCACCAACATGATCAGATCTGCATATTAGTGCTGTTTCCCTTCTTATGCAGGAACAGCAGAAGCCTGCTGGGCCCTGATCCTTAACCAAGGTATCCAGGCAGCACAGCAAGCAAATAAAATATGTACTATAGAACTGTGTGGCCTGTCTCTTATGGACTTGAAGTGTTGTTTTTTTTCTAGTACACAATTACCCACCTAGCAGGAAGTAGGTTTCTGTTTAGGGCATGCACAAACATCTAGCTCTTAGTGAAAATGAAACTATGAGATATCAGAAAAGCCTTCACAAAGTTTAGAGGCCAAGGAGTCCAGTTTTATCTGGAACTGATCCCTCTGTTTCATTTTACCCTCTGAGTCTTCCAAAAAAAGCACTTGGATGCACTAAAAACCTCTCCCCATCTGTTGTTCCCACAGCCACAATATTCAGCCTGGCTGAGCAACTGAAAATCACATGGATCCAAACATGCAGCTTAAAAATAGACCTGAAAGTCCTTCTGCATTTACTGATTGAAGGGGAGGCTCTGGTCACTGCTGCTCATCAGAGAGTGTGGCAGTAAGTCTCCACGCCCTCTTTGTCCCAGTTCATCTACATGTGCCATGCTGCGGTGCCATGTGACTTGGCACTCGCATTCCCAGCTAATGCCTGTGTGTGAGCAAGTATTTATTTTTGCTTCCAGGCAAGCCAGATTCTTTACCTTATTATACCTTTTCCAGGAAAGAGCTGCATTTTCATTGAGGCTCTGCTGTTACCCAAGCTGTATCATGTCTGGAGGTTCAGTCAGTTGATGTTGCAGGACAAACAGCATTTGCCCTATTCCAGTTTTGTCCTTAGTCCTGCAGAAACTTCATGTATGTAAGTAACCCCCTGATACCAGCTAGGCTGCTTGCAAGGAGCTCTTGCACACAACAACAGAGGTTACAAGCTTGTTCCAAAAAAACAGCATAGAGTTTACATGATTAATTAGGGGGCCTGACTCCCCCAAGGTCTTCCCATTGCAGTCATCCCACTAGATCCAAGGGGCTGACTCTTGAGAGTAATTCTTCATCACGTGAGCAAGGGTTTAGAATATGAGCCTGGGAGGCAGGACAGATGGGCTCTACTCATGGTCTGTCACTTGCCTGGGGCAAGTAATCTCACTGCCCTGCCTCCATTTCCCCATCTGTATGGTGGGACTGGTGCAGCCCTACTTTGTAAAGCACCTCAAGATGTGCAGAGGAAAGATTGAGGTTCTTAATATGACTTTTAAATTATATTAAGGTTTCATTCTTATTTGTAGCACAGGTCTGCAGGGTCAGCCTGTGAGAACATTGCACTTCATAAATGAAATCCATGATATAAATAGTCACCTTCCCCACCCCCTACTTTTATACAGTATGAAAAAAATAAGTGTTTTTTTTTCCCCCCTCAAAGCCTGAAGCTGCCTGGTAAGGGGAACTTTAACTACAAAACTTCCCCAGTGCTGAAGTGGCTGTAAGAAACAGCAGTACGGAGGACTTGCTGTTGAATGTGTTAAACCACATGTGTTAAACCACCTGGTATGTAGCATTATCCCCTGGTGAAACTGAGATCCAGAAAAGGGTTGTGTCAAAACCATATACCAATGGTTCTCAATCTTGTTAGGTTCATGGTACCCCTCAGAAAATGCCAGCATTTAGTTGGGTTTTTTTTGACTACAGAAAAACAATAGGTTCTTCTGTAGCAAAGAACGCAGAAAGGCCACAACAGGTCAGAATGTTTTAAACACAATGGATTCCTATTTGAAATCTCTGGAAATACGATCTTGTGATCTCATGAAGGCATGAGAGCTCATGTTGATCATGAAACTCGATCTCATAAAAACATGTTCTTGTGAATCGTGTCTGCACGCCTAACAGTGCTAACATTGTGTGATACCTTGTGGCACCCTTGAAAGGATTTCAAGGCACCCTAAGATGGCATGGCACCTGGTTGAGAATCAGTGCCATACACCTTCATTGCCATAAATGTGGGAACAGAACCCAGGAGTCCTGGTTCCCAGCTCTGAGCACAAATCCAAGTTGGTCTGCTGTCCCCAACGGAGCCAGGATCATTAGATCAGGATGGGAAGATGGCCTCAGGCCTCTATTACACCATCATTCCAAGGCAGGGGTGGGCAAAATGCTGCCCGCAGGCCAGATCTGTCCCACCAGGCCATTCTATCTGGCCCGAGGGGCCCCTTAAAAATTAAGAAAATTAATGTTTATCTACCTCCGGCTGCCTGTCATGCAGCCCTTGATGGCTTGCCAAAACTCAGTAAGCAGCCCTCCATCCAAAATAATTGCCCATCCCTGTTTCAAGGGAATGCCCAGCAAGGGAAAGTCCTGTGGTTTTTCCATCAGTGAATTGCTTTCTACCTTAACTGTCCCCTGATGTTTGATCTATCCTCTCCTTGAACCCCTGTGGTGCCCTGCTTTGAATGGGCAGGTTGGAAGAGGCAGAACATAGCCCCTTCTAAGTCATAGCATTCTTCTTTATGGAGGAAATAGCATTTCACTGCAAGTCCACCTGAGATCCCAGCTGTGGGGTTCCTTCTGTCCAGATGCTCCCTGTGGATTGGTAATTTCCAAAGTCACTGGGATCTCCTAAGGAACAAGAATCAGACAGTGGGATTTGCTTGACACAGAAGCAGATGTCCAGCCATGACCTCTGCTACCTGCTGAGAGTTTTTATCTGAAAGGGGAGTGCCACTAATACTGCAGGGGGAATGAAGCATTCATGATACCAGGTATGCTGCTCCCATCCC